AGGAAGCAAAGGCACATGGCCTGAAGCTCTGGAATACTGTGCATAACTGCAAAAATTAGGCTGACCAGGACAAACACTTATTGACACCATTGTTAAATCCCAAAAGTGTACTTCTGACTCTTGTAATGAAGCGGCAGCTGGGTAAACACATTTCAAATTCAAATATCCATGAAATAGAATTACTGCAGGTAAATGAAAAACTTAAGAACCTCGGGCTATACAGAACCATTTATTTCATAATTAGCTAAAATTTAAAGACCATGTAATATTTAATCAAGTCCTATTTCTTAAAACAAAGCCAGAGTAATCCTGTTGAAAGAAAACTAATACATATTCTTAGTGTGAAAGAATACTGTGCATAGAAAGATGAAAGGGTTAACAGTTTCCAGTAAAACACCCCAAGTTATTCAATCCTCCAAGTTAAGTGTCCAGTCAACCAGTCAAACAGGATTGGCCCAAAGCAGGCCACTGAAGCCCAAAGCTTGCCACCAGTCTAAGGCACCTTCTGGCAAGGAACCACAGAAAATAGGCATCAGGTGGCAAGCAAGTCTGGAAGAAAAATTGCAAAATAAAGTACAAATCAAGGTAATGGCTGCCATTGTCAGCCTCCACCCCCCACCCCTCTCCCAAGTGTCTCTCCATGTCTCAGATTCCACGGGTCCTTCCGTGTCCCCCAAGTTCACGGTGCAAGTCCAAAGCTGAGAAGCGGGCAGGCCTTCTTCTTCACGTGTCTCTGCTCTACACACTTCCTCCAGTCTCCCTGTTACAGGACAGAGAGAGGGGCAGCTCAAACCCTGCAAACCTGCCTATTCTAAATGGGTTCTGCCATCCGCCGCATCAACACAAAACATCTGAGACTTTAATAGGAACGAACTTTAATACAATTAGGAAACAATACAGGAAAGGCAAAGAATATAGTTTCTAAATCAAGCACCCAAAGTTACCCATGCCCTCGTGGGTAAAACTCTGTACAAATGGGATTGGCCCAGAGCAAGGCCCCAAAGCCTGCCACAAGTCTAAAGCATCTTCCAGTGGGGACCCACAGAAAAGAGTCAGAAACAACCAGACAAGCCCGGAAGGAAAAGAGCAAAATCAAAATCAAGATAAAAGCTGCCATTGTCACCTGCCCATGGGTCTCACCCACATCTGTGTCACCCAGTCCACGACCAAAAGACAAGCGCAGGGGCCTCCCCGGTGGCGCATCGGTTGAGCGCTGGGTTGCGAATCTGCCCGCAGCTTCTGCAGCGCAGGTTCAATCCCTGGCTGCTCCCCGGCCACCAGAAGAGGGTCCCGCATGGCGCGCAGACCTCTCCTGCCGCCTGCTGCTCCCCTCAGCAGTGTACTTCGGTCCTTCTGCCTTCTTTGCTCCCTGCTCTGGCTCTGGTGAATTCTCTCACCCTCCCATGCTTCTGACTGTACCCAGTGCTTGTATGTATAAATAAATAAATAAATCTTTAAAAAAAAAAATTATTAAAAAAAAAAAAAAAGACAAGCGCAGTTTCTTCACATGTCTCTAGGCTCCATGCGCCTCCTCCAGGTCTCCTGGCTCCATCCTGCTTCCTTCCTCAGTCTCTTCTGCAGCTTCTCCTCTCCCTGCTCAGCTACACCCTCCCTTGGGTGGGGCAGGGAACCTCCCCCTTTCCTGGGGACCACCCTGTTACATCTCTTCTGGGGGTCTCCTCCCAGTTTTCTTCAGCTGCTCCTCCCCACTAGCTCTGCCCTTCATTAGGTGAGGCAGGGAACACAGGACCTCCCTTTTTAGGAAGATTACACTCTGTCACAATTTCTTTCTCACAATGTGGGGCAATTGTGGTATTTTGGACCAAGGTTAGTTTAAGAAATCAACAAACAACTATAAACCAGAGACACACCAGGGAGAGGCTGGGAAGAGGAGGAAGTAGGATCAAAACAAGGGGGGTGGGAATTGTATGGGGACTATAACCAAGATGAAAATGCATACATTGTGCAAAAATGAAAAAATGACGTAAAAAATGTATAAAATAAAAATGAGGAAAATTAACACAGCTTTTAAGTATGTTCTTCCAGGATAAACTGCTGGAATATGGAGTGACAAGACTTGAATTTAAATGCTGTGAACACAACTTCCTCTCTTAGCACCTACCATTTATGATATGTTCTATTTAACACCTTCATTTTCTCAGTCAGTGGCAGAGAAAATGAGATCCCAAATTGCTGCAAGCCCTGCGCAGCAGCCTGGGTGTCAGGGGTTCCTCAAGGATGGGAGGGGGACGGCGCAATTGTGGGTTGAGGGCGAGGGGGAAGGAATGAGGAGATGCTGACACCTCATCAGGGTGCAGGCATATCCTGCTGAGGGACTGTAGGGTAAAGAAAATGTCAGGCTTTTCTGCCCTTCCGCCATCAGGACAGATGATGGATCCTTGTCCTGAATGCATGCCTGATGGCGGGCACCTGGAATAGGGTGTGGGCATAGGTAGATGGGATTCACCTGGGCTGAGACTGTGCTTTTAAGGGCAGCGTCACAGGGACGCCAGCAGCAGCAGTAGAAGAGAAGCCAAGAAGCAGCGGAACGAACTCCAGAGAGCCCAGATAGAGTGAAGACTTGCTGGGGGCTGGGAGGCCTGTCAGCCTCCCAGCACCCCTGCCTGCCATATGCCTGGTGAACCCCAATAAAAAGCCTGCAAAACTACTGAGGACTCTGACTACTCCTTTACCCGGTCTGCATGGGATCAAAAAACCGGCACTGTGGCCTGTCCTGCCCTCTACAGGGACTCAGAGGCCCTTTATTTATACACTTTAAGCAAAGCAGGAGTGTGTTAGCATATGCATTAGGGCAGGAAGAGAACAATCCCATCTTTCTCAAGAACAGCCAAGGGTTTATTTGCCCTCCTGCAGAGGTCGTGACCTTTATTATTTTTTTATTTAAAGGAGGCACTTTTGCTAAACAAGTGTTCTTAGAATAGTCATTTACCTTAAACAACCAGTCATTTTATTACTAGCAAAAAGTTATGTGACTGCAACTAACATTTCTATGTTTACCTTAGTGAAGGATTAACTAGCACAGGAAGTTACCCTGGGGAAGGAAGATGCATTGACTCTTCCCTAGACCCAAACTCTCAAGTAAGGGAGGCATTTTCCTAATCTCACAGAAGAGTTTTTTTACCTATTACACCTCAACTTATCTAGTCAGCCTAGTTTTCATATCTAACTAAGATCAAGGGGAAATTTCTTTCCCTATAAGATTGCTGATTGTTGTTTGTAGTTGTAACCAACTACAAATATTTTATCAGAGGCAGGGCCAACAAGATGGTTATAGTTTTTGGTTCTCAAAAATGGTTAATACGTAACATATCAGAAGTTGTAACATTGACTGCTTCAGAGTGCATTATTTGTGCTGCCGCTGTTATAGGGCAGTCCCTATATTGAACGGGTTGCCTGGCTGTGGGTCCTCACCCGCACGCTTAAAAGGGACTTATGAATACTCCACTACAGACACACTCAAAAGGTTAATAAAAGGTTTATTTACAAGGGAAAAGGAAATAAGGAAAATGTACAACTCAGGGAGAAAATAGGGAAATAAAGTCTTTAATGCGTCCTACCCAATCCGATGACCTGGAAACCCAAAGTCACTCTCAAAGCTGGCAGAGAGCCAAAATGGGGGACCCCCCCCCAAAGCCCACGTGTCTGCCTTTCATATCAGCCTGGCTGCTTAACCCCACCCTCAGGTCCCAGCCACCTTCCCTTTGGTGGTGATGGGATTTGGAGTTCCCAGTGTCTTTGGCTTTGGCCTGGGGTGGGGGTGGAGTCCACAAAGCCTGTATGGAATTAGCTTTAGGACATCCTTTTCCCCCTAGCACCATGACTTTTAGCTCAATCAGTCACATAATTGCTGTTGACTTATTCTTGAATGCACTCTTAACAGCTACCATACCCATTGTCACCTCCAGGGGAATTAGCCCTAAACAAACAAGAAGAATTTAGCAGGAGCCCACTATGGCGCCTCCCAGCTTATTAGGAATTTTCTTATACTTGGAGCATGGCTCCTGTCTGCCACCCAACTGCTATCTTTAAAGTAAGAGAATTTCCAGGCCTCCCCGGTGGCGTAGCGTAGCGGTTGAGCATTGGGTTTCGAAGCTGCCCGCGGCCTCTGCGGCGCCGGTTCGATCCCCGGCTGCTCCCCGGTCACCAGAAGAGGGTCAAACATGGCGCGCAGACCTCGCCTGCTGCCAGCTGCTCCCCTCAGCAGTGTACTTCGGTCCTTCTGCCTGCTCTGCTCCCCGCTCTGGCTCTGGTGAATTCTCTCACCCTCCCAGGCTTCTGACTGTACCCAGTGCATGTATAAACACAACAATCAAACAAACAAACAAAATAAATAAATAAAAACATGCCTCTATTAAAAAAAAAAAAAGGTAAGAGAATTTCCTTCTCCATTTAGCCCTTGCCACAAAAGACCATATATCCATATTAAAGACTTGGCAGAGAGATATTTACAGCCTTTTGTTCCCAGTTTTTTCCCTTGTTAATGTAAGGCCAAATGTTGAATTGATGCCTTTTGGCAGAGAGTTACTAATTTTATAATAAATGAAATATTTAAATCACACAGTGCCATTTGCCATCAAATTGTTTATTCAGTAACTGATCAAACAGCATGTACAGTTTTACTTTTAAATGCGTATTTTAACAATGGTAGAAACTAGCCATAAACAAATGAGGAGAAACAAGCAGGAGTCAGCTAACAAGATTCCTGACTTTTCAGGAATCTGCCCCATGCCCGCACCTTTGTCAATGACATGAGTAGCACGGCTCCCAGTACCAAATATTTGACAGAGGTCAGGAAGCCTCATTTTTCCTCAGGAGAATAGAAATTGATAAATTAAGAGCCTCTCTTAATGTGCATGATATTTGGGAAAAATCTAACACAGGGCAAGTGATACACCCCGTTGATAAATAAAGGATGTCAAAATGCAAAAGAATGGAGCCAGCAAGGAAGGTGGCAGAATGTTGGAAATAAGCTCAGTGCCTTAGATGCCCCCAAAGCAAAAGGCACTCCAGGGAAGTGCATGAGGATCAAGAAGGCTCAAGGGCCTGGTTTGCAAATAGTCATGGGCAATTTACATTTCAGAGGATTCAAATATGGACAAACTTTCTCAGGAAAGCCACACTTGGAGTATTCATAGACGGGTGACCCATGGTTTGTGACGTTGTAAAAGGAGACAATGCCCGCCTCATAGTCAAGGAAAACCCCAACATGACTGGGAGGGACCTTCATGGAAAGAGACAATATCTTGGGTTTCTGGGTGTGAGTCTCATCATCAAAAGCATGATACTCTGAATGATTCTGTAACCCTATAGCCCAAATGCAAAATCTAGGCTGTAATCCAGCATAAATATTTTGGTGATTAGGGGGGTTATTTACATTTCTTTGACAATGGTTTTCCCCACACACCCCCAGGATCCAGGAACTTTTGTGGGATACATCTACCTCCCAGTAATGTTTCCCATTCTTTTTTTTTTTTTTTTTTAAAGATTTATTTATTTATTTATTTATTTATTTATACAAGCACTGGGTACAGTCAGAAGCGCGGGAGGGTTGAGAGAATTCACCAGAGCCAGAGCGGGGAGCAGAGCAGGCAGAAGGACCGAAGTACACTGCTGAGGGGAGCAGCGGGCGGCAGGAGAGGTCTGCACGCCACGTGGGACCCTCCTCCCGTGGCCGGGGAGCAGCCGGGGATCGGGGATCGAACAGGCGCTGCAGAGGCTGCAGGCAGCTTCGCAACCCAGCACTCAACCGCTGCGCCACCGGGGAGGCCCGTTTCCCATTCTTGAAAAATGGTGATCCCAGGACAGAGTAATCTCCATAATAGTAATGTGGATATTTTTTAACATCAGAAAAATCTCCATTATAGCAATACTGATATTTTTTAACTGGAATATTGTCCCACAAAGATTTCACTTCTCTCTTATTTGCAGAAATCGCAACACTGTGTCCATTGCTGGTCAGATTCAAGGTGACATCAACTGAGAAAAATTAAAGTTTTGGGTGAGGGACATGAAGTATCTTTATACATGACATTGTGAGAAGAATCATGAGAATAACTTAGCAGGAAATGGAAAGAATTTTGGTTTTAGGGAGAAACAAAACACTGCAGACTCAGTCTGTGTATTAGAATGAGAAACAGTAGTTTTAAAATATGAGCTTTACTAGAAATCAAAAAATTCAGAAAGATGAAGTAAATAGAATGGAGAAGTTTGATGGCACGAAGATTTATCCTTACCCCAGGAGCATCGCACACTTGCCAGGTCTGAAATGATTAAAAAAAAAAAAAAAAAATCTAAACTGGTAAATCTAAGCAAAGGCCACAGCACTGAACTCTATCTCCTCTCCAGATTAAGGGAAGTTCCTGGAACTATGGCAGGGAGTAAACTAGTAAATAAGGGTAGTGCTGACTCCTGGCCAATCCCCACTCAACAGGACATTAACTCAGCCACAGTCTCCAGTGCCCCCAGCATCACTGTCCACACCTAAAAGCTGCATTTCCTCCTCACTTGGTCCCTGCCATTGCTACACCCCCACAGTTGCCCACCCGGGTGACCAAGCCTCACCGGTAAGCCCTCGCAGCATCTCTCTCAGATCCGGAGCTTGGAACACACGTCTTTGTTGTTGGGGTAAAGTTTTTGGCTCCTTCAGAGTGAAATTCCAACACCTAGAATGAGAAAAATAGATCCCTACACCTCTAACAGGTTGCCCTGTCAAAACTACTGACTTATCTCTTTACTCCAAGGAATGCACTTGAACTCTTACCTGGAAATGATAAGGGAAAAAAAGAGCAAATGCTGACCTCAGAGTCAGGAAAAAAATGGGCTGATGTCTACCTCTGTGTGGCTCTGGGAACATCTTGACGTCTCAAGAGCAGTTTCTCCCTTACAAAGTTAAATCATTAATATGTCTCCCTCTACTTGCTACAAACCATATGAAAATATGTGTAATAATAGATTTGACAAAATAAAACTTAATTACCTTAAAAAAATAACGTGTGGAAAGTCACCATATGCATTTGGGATCCAGAGAGAAAAACAGAAAGGAAGGCTCCAGAAAGTGGCTCCTGGGTGTCTGAGATACATTAAGCTTGGGAACACTCCCTGGAGACAACCAAGATTTCAAACTCGGACCTCCCCGGTGGCGCAGCTGTTGAGCGCTGGGTTGCTAAGCTGCCTGCAGCCTCTGCGGTGCTGGTTCAATCCCCGGCTACTCCCCAGCCACCGGAGGAGGGTCCCACATGGCGCGCAGACCTCTCCTGCCGCCCGCTGCTCCCCTCAGCAGTGTACTTCGGTCCTTCTGCCTGCTCTGCTCCCCGCTCTGGCTCTGGTGACTTCTCTCACCCTCCCGCACTTCTGACTGTACCCAGCGCATGTATAAACAAAGCAAAACAAACAAACAAATAAATAAATAAATAAAACATGCCTCTATAAAAAAAATTAAAAAAAAAAAAAAGATTTCAAACTCTACATCCCACTAGGGAGGCCCTCAGAATAACATTTAAGACTCAGGCTCCCTGAGAATAATTGCAAACACTTGGAAAATACATGATGATCTCCAGCCGAACAGTGGTCTGGATTTTATGTGTTCAGAAAGAGGTCGATGCTGCCGGGTAGGTATGAATTTAAAGTAAGATGCTGATTGATACCTGGGGCCAGAGCGTGTGAGGAGATGAATCACTTTCTTACAGCAGGGCCCAAATATCCCACGAGATGGTCTATGAAATTTAGATATAAAAATATTGTTGCTAATTCTGGGTGCTTGGCAGAAAAAGAAGATCAGGGCTTCCCCTATGAAAGTCAAGCACCTGAGATATGAACGAACCCTAGATAGAAGCACACAGAGTGAATAAAATTTATGAGATCACAGAGGTCTGATAACTAAAAGGCTTGATTTTTTTTTTACTTTTTTTTTCTTATATCATTGTAGTTCCCATGGTTCTGCCACCCCCGTGTCACTTGTGAACCATCACCATATCCCCTTCTGCTCATCACTCCCGTTTTGACCCCCTACCTTCCCCCTCCTTTGCTGGATGCCTCATATCTATGGTCAGTTTGCTACTTTTGACTTCACCACCTTTCATTTGGTTTCTTTACATTCCACATAAGTGAGATCATCGGTATTTATCTTTTTCCTGATGACTGATTTTGGCTAGCATAATCCTTTTCCTGCTCCATTTATATTGCTGCAAATAGTTTGTCTGTAATAGTCCATTGTATATACACTTTTTTTTAAAGATTTATTTATTTATTTATACAAGGACGGGGTACAGTCAGAGATGTGGGATGGTGAGAGAATTCACCAGAGTGGAGAGCAGAACAGGCAGATGGACGAAATACACTGCTGAGGGGAGCAGCGGGAGTGTCAGGAGAGGTCTGCGTGACAAGTGGGACCCTCACCCGGTGGTTGGGGATCAAACCAGCGCTGCAGAGGCTGCAGGCAGCTTCCCAGTCCAGCGCTCAACCACTGCACCACCAGGGAGGCCCTATACCACAACTTTTTGATCCATTCATCTATTTTGGGGTATTTGGGTTGTTTCCATATTCTGGCTATGATAAATAGTGTGCAATAAACATAGGAGTGCAGTTTTCCTTTCAAATTAGTGTTTTTGTGTTTTTTGGGTAGAATCCTGGGAGTGGGATCGCTGGATCACATGGAGATAAGTTTTTAGTGTTCTCAGGAAACTCCACACAGGTTTCCACAGAGGCTGGACCAGTTTACAATCCCCCCAGCAGCATAAGAGTGTTCCTTTATCTCCACATACTCTCCAGCATTTGTTGTTTCCATTTTTGTTTCTTAGGTGTTTTTTTTGGTGCAGGCCATTCACACTAGAGTGAGGTGGCATCTCATTGCGGTTTTGATTTGGATTTCCCTGGTAACTACCGATGCTGAATATTTTTTCATATGCCCATTGGTCATCTGTCAAATGCTTTATCTTTAAAGCTACTACTGACCCAAAATTGTCAGCTTGACAGCTTCCTACCATTCCCATTACTTTCCGTAGTATCTGGTCCATTCTCAACCCATTTTTTATAAACAGAAATTTAAGACAAATGTATACCTGTATTTCCCTGCCCACAATGATGCTTCGTTGTTAGTGAACACGAGGTTACTCTAAAAAGCATTAAACATCTCTCCACAGCACAAAAAGACCATTGCTGGCCTCCCACACATACCTTTGTATGATGTGAGTCACAACCTAGGCGAAAAAGAAAAAATAAATCAATTAATTAAAAAAAAATCATGAGTCAAGAAGTAATAGGCTCTCCCCACTTATAAGGCCTCATCACATCTCCTCAGGCCCCTGATTAGGTGGGGTAGAGTTGGTCCCATTGTCAGAGACAAATGCAAAGACAAGACCTAGGCCAGACATTCCAGAACTCATGTGATGCTGTCAGGTTTCCCAAGAGGTAGAAACGGTTTTGACTCTTGTGGAAGTCAAGTATGTATCTGGAGATGAGACATACTTGTAAGGAAAACTAGAAATCCATAATTTTATTCCCCAAATGCAGACTCCCTCTGAGATGACTTAATAATTAATAGTCTTTCGTGTATTCAGCCGAAATGGAATGTATGTGCTACTATTGTCAAGCTTTATGCTAGGCTTAGGGGAATTTAAAAAATTGTAATACTCTTCAAGAAGTTTGTATGACCTTTTATGAGGTGCACACAGACACCATTAATGTAGGTGCTTTTCCTGTCTCTCTCTCCTCACATTAAACTCTCTCTATAAGTGACTTCATCCAGTCCCTTGAATTTTACACACACACATGTGCAGCTGATTGACTATTTTTACTCGATTTTTTCTCTAAACTGCATATTAATATATTCATTAGAAAAGTAACAGAAACCAGTAACTTAGAATGTCTCATCTGTAACTTCACCAAGTTGTTAAATCAATGCAATTTAAGAAAAAAAAAAAAAAAAAAAAGGACACACAAACACACACACACATTCCAAGGGTGAACAGGAAAAAAAATTGCAAAAACAGTTGAAAATAAGTTGGATTGAATGAAAATCAAATCAAAACAATAATAATATATGGAATACAGTTAAAGCAATACATTTATATTATTAAACACTAAACCAGAAAAGATGTTTTCTAAATTTCCATTTTAAGAAACTAGAAAAGGAACAGTAAGCTAACCACGTACAACACACACACACTAAATATGTAGAGAACAGAAACAAATGATTAACCTAAAAGAAATTAATGAAATCTAAAAGTTTGTTCTATAAAAATATCAATAAAATCAATGAGACATAAACTAAGAAAAAAGGGAAAAAGCAAATCACTGCAATTAAAAATAAAACAGGAGGCCTCCCCGGTGGTGCAGCGGTTGAGCGCTGGGTTGCGAAGCTGCCTGCGGCCTCTGCAGCGCGGGTTCGATCCCCGGCTGCTCCCCGGCCACTGGAGGAGGGTCCCACATGGCGCGCAGACCTCTCCTGCCGCCCGCTGCTCCCCTCAGCAGTGTGCTTCGGTCCTTCTGCCTGCTCTGCTCCCCGCTCTGGCTCTGGTGAATTCTCTCACCCTCCCGCGCTTCTGACTGTACCCAGTGCTTGTATAAATAAATACATAAATCCAAGAAAGAAAGAAAGAGAGAGAGAGAAAGAAAACAGGGTGGAAGAGAGCCCAGCACTATAGTGATTTTTTTTTTTTTAATTATGGGGACTGCAGAGAATGTCAATCTGCAATTTCTCTCTCTCCCTCCTTCTGTCCTTCTCATATTATCCTTGAAACGTCTTTATTTATTTTTGCACAATACAGGATCTCTCTCCTCAGGTGTGGTCACCTTAGTTTTCCAACCACCGAAGTGCCCACAGCCTTCCCCACTCCCCTCATGGGGATACCTTCCCCAGCCCTTCTCTACCCTGACCCCCAACCCCAACACCCCCCCACCACACACACACACTCAAGGTCTTGGAAGGACTGCCTCGACTTTCTGAAGGAACACAGCCAAGGCAACCTAGGAGAGCTTCAGAGTCCTGCACCTCAGGTGCCACCAGGAGAGAACACAGGAGAGAAACTGGGCCTTGGCACACTTTAAATATGCAGGAGGGGTGCCAGTCCTGCTTCTGGAGGGTCTACCCCTTTTTTTTGAGGGGGGGATGTCCTACTTCAGATTGCTACTTTTGTTACTTCGCCACTTTTGCTCCTTAGAGGGCTTTTAGCTGCCTCCCTCCTACACCTGCTGTTCTCTTTTGCCTTCCAGCACTTTGGCAAACCAATTAAAATCTTTTCAGCAAACCTTGTTTGCTTTGCCTTTATGGACCAGGTAACAAGAACCCCTAGAATAGACAACTTGGAGCCTCCCCGGTGGCTCAGCAGTTGAGCGCTGGGTTGCAAAGCTGCCCGCAGCCTCTGCAGTGCCGGTTCCATTCCCGAATGCCAGTGAGGGTCACACATGGCGCGCAGACCTCTCCTGCCGCCCGCTGCTCCCCTCAGCAGTGTATTTCTTCGTCAGTCTGCCTGTTCTGTTCCCTGCTCTGGCTCTGTCGAATTCTCTCACCCTCCGGTGCTTCTGATTGGACCAAGTGCTTGTATGAATAAATAAATAAATCTTTTTTAAAAAAAAAAGCCAAATAGAATAGACAACATGGCTTATTTCCCTTTTCAGTTTGGAGTCCCCGTGAAGCCCCTTGGTTTTGCTTGGTATCAAAGGGACAATTCAGTGAATATTGTAGGAATTGAAGGGATGGGAAAGAATCATTATGAGTATCTTTGCATCTACAAAGCACACAATTTAGCCAAACTCCTATGAAGACACACATTGCCAAAAACGACACAAAAATTATTTTAAAAATTAAACAAGTAAATTATATATATTTAGTTACATACATATATAATTACATACACACATATATGTACCCTTTCACACAAAAAGGGCCAGAATGAGACATCATTTGTGAATTCCACTGAGTAATTAAAAATAAATACCAGGCCTTCAATAATTCTCCTCAGAAAATAGAGAAACAAGGGGGAAAATCTCTACTCATTCCATGAGGGGGAAAAAATGCTTGTTAAGACTCTGAAGTGCATTTGTTCATCTGGACTAAGCTTCACTCGATTTAACTAATGAATGGGTAACACTAGCACACAATAACAGGGATATCAAATACACCTGAATAAAATGCATCTTCATTCCAAGCTCACACAATTGCACTGTACTTGATACATTAATAAAAATGAGGTTTTCCCCTTGTTATTTATGCATTCACGTATTCCTATAAATGCAGGAAGCACACTGCAGAGCAGAAGAAACTTAGGGTCACACCAGAGAGAGCACAGCAATACAGAAGGGGAGGGAAATCTGCCCACATGGTTCTCATGTCCCAGAAGCTGGGGCTTCTTTTGAGATCTTACTGTAACAGGGTGGTCCCCAGGAAAGAGGGAGGTTCCAAGTTCCCTGCCCCACCCAATGGAGGGTGGAGCTAAAGAGAAGAGAAGGAAGGAAGCAGGATGGAGACAGAAGGAGCCCTGCAGGAGGCACATGGAGCAGAGAGACGTGAGGAAACTGCGCTTGCCTTTTGGTCGTGGACTGGGTGACACTGATGTGGGTGAGACCCGAGGGGAGGAGACAATGGAGCTTTTACCTTGATTTTGGTTTTGCTCTTTTCCTTCCAGACTTGTCTGGTGGTTTGATCCTTTTCTGTGGGTCCCCACTGAAAGGTGCTTTGGACTTGTGCAAGACTTTGGGGCCTTGCTCTGGGCCAATCCAGATTGGGGGGACTTCTAAAAACCAAGGGATGGGCAACTGCGGGTGCTTGATTTGAAAACTATATTCTTTGTCTTTCCTGTATTGTTTCCTAATTGTATTAAAGTTCCTTCTCATTAAAGTCTCATGTGTTTTGTGTTGATGCGGTGATGGCAGAACCTATTTAGAGCAGGCAGGTTTGCGGGGTCTGGGCTGCCCCTCTCCCTGCCCTGTGACATTACCTGCAGCATGTCTATGTCTGACACTTCCAATCGATGCTGCAGATCTGAGATGAGAACGTCTATCAACTGGCTCTGCTGCACGAGCTCACTCTCATCCTCTGCCAGTTTATGGAGAATGACTTCTTCCTCCTTATTCAGTTTTTGCAGCTCCTTCTGCTCCGCCGAGTCCAGGAGACCTCTCAGTTCTGCACCTTGTCTCTCACTTTGTTTTTGACTCTTAGGATGGAGGAAAGAGAGAGAAGTAGAACTCAACCCATCAGGCAGAGACTAGGAACCAGAACCAGCACCACTGTAAATGGAAAGTTCTCACAGCAAAGTGAGACAGAGCAAGAGAACAATTCTTAAAGAGGCTCTTCACCTACTACTTCCCCTCTATTATATTCCAAAATAATTCCCTCAAGTCTGCAGCACTGAGTCCAACCCTGAGCCAAACAGAGCAACTGGGTAGGTCTCCACGTTCACACAGCTGCACTACTCCTGACCGCACCACTCACCCTCTGCCCAAGTGGCACACTGGCCCAGAACCAGGAGCCATGGCGAACGGCTTCCCCCAGGAGAGTCAAAGACTCAAACACATGATGGGAATGGAACAGGGACTGCACTGCCGTCCTGGCCAGTGTCCTCCACATGAACCTTCCCTCCAAAGACCCATTCACCTGTGCCAGGTTCACTTTTCAATCCCCTCCTCCATCAGGGAAATGATGAAGAAAAGGATAATCAAATAACTGTGGGATTGTTAATGATCCAATAACAAAAATGTAGGAAGTTCCTCATGTTATCAGCCAAATTCTACCAGATTTCTGTCTAAATCCCTCAGAAAGAGCCTCCTCCTACCTTCCAGGAAATTCTCCTTTCTGTGACTTGAGCTTCCAAATGTCCAGCTTTCTGCAGCTTTTCCCTCATCTGCTCAAGGGCACCCTGGAGCTTCTCCTGTGAGAGGGGAATCAAGCAATGGGCTTCTCCTGTGAGAGGGGAATCAAGCAATGGGCTTTCTCAACATCTGAATACAGGACATGGAGGAAGTAATCAGATGATCTCTAAACATAAGAGTCACAGAAACTGAAAATATCAATGAGAACCTTTGACTTAGAAGAAAATCTGAAGTGTGAACGTATTAAGTCTCAGGCAGAAGTATGAGCGTAGTCACCATCCCTTCCCAAGACAGGATGATTCTATTTGTCCTAGAGGAGAAATTTGATCCTGCAACAAAGAAACAACATCTCAATCTACCCAGTCCCTCAGTTTCACTTCATGTGCAAAGGGAATGGTGGATTTTCATGGGCACTAGCCCCTCCTCCCCATTTAACACATGGTTCAAAAACATCCACTTCTCACTATAAAGAGGTCTCTTGCAATCAGGCTGGAGGCACAGAAATGTCCTCTACCTTGAAAGGTGATCCAAGTGTTTCTCTTCCCCCAGCTTTTTCCAAGCTGGAAAATTTCAATTTGTGTCCTCTTATTAGGTAGAACTAACGTAAATCAAAATTTTTGTGAGTGTCATGAGGAAGTGTTATGTTAAAGAGATGACCTAGACTTAGCAACATCTCTAGAAATAAACTATTTTTTTAAGATTTTATTTATGTATTTATGCACAGAAGAACTGGGGTGTAGGCCAGAGGTGAAGGGGGTGAGAGCATTCACCAGAAACAGAGTGAGGAGCAGAACAGGAGAATCGGCTGAAATACACTGCTGAGGGGAGCAGTGGGCGAGACAGAAGTGTGCTGTGCCATGTGTGGGTCAGCTCCCCGGCCCATGATCAAACTCAGACCATTGTGATGATAGCGCTGACACGTAACCCCTACGCCATCAGGGAGGCCTCTAGAAAAAAACTTTTTTTTTTTAGAAAAAAACTTTTTATGGGAAAAACCTATCTCAAGGCAAGGCAAATATCTAAAGGCAAGGTTGTATCATATGAAATTGTCCCCTCCTGGTCCCAGAGACCTCCTCCTCCCTCCTTGACACCTCAGGCTCCTAACCCATCCTTAACATCCTTAACCCATCCTTATGCATACTGGATCTGGGCCACACTCGTGGCACAGGGGCTAAAGTCTCAGTGCTATCAAGTCATCCTCAGCCACAGTGGCATGAGTTCAATCCCCTGCCAGGGAGCTACCCACATGGCGCAGCAGACCTCTCCTGTCTCACCCACTGCTCCACTCAGCAGTGTATTCACTCAGTCCACCTGTTCTTTTTTTTTTTAAATAGAGGCATGTTTTATTTATTTATTTGTTTGTTTGTTTGTTTGTTTGTTTACACATGCACTGGGTACAGTCAGAAGCGCGGGAGGTGAGAGAATTCACCAGAGCCAGAGCAGGGAGCAGAGCAGGCAGAAGGACCGAAGTACACTGCTGAGGGGAGCAGCGGGCGGCAGGAGAGGTCTGCGCGCCATGTGGGACCCTCCTCCGGTGGCCGGGGAGCAGCCGGGGATCGAACAGGCGCGGCAGAGGCCGCGGGCAGCATTGCAACCCAGCGCTCAACCGCTGCGCCACCAGGGAAGCCCTCAGTCCACCTGTTCTGTTCCCCATTTTGTCTCTGGTGAATCCTCTCAACCCCCACACCTCTGGCCTGTACCCCAGCTCTTGTATGCAAAAATAAATATTTAAAAATTTAGTAATGAACACCGGATCTATCCCATTTTATTTAAGTATTTACAGTCATGTAAATTCTCCATGTGTACATTATTAAAGGTGGTCTTTTTCTCCTTCTAATCTGTCTGATGTTAATCTCATTGTTCATCTAGCCCTAGAACTTAGAGCAGTGGGGGAATTTTCCCCTGTATCAACACCATGGGAAGAAAAGACATCACAGACCTCTGCGCTGTGGGGTGTGGTGAGAAGGCAACCAAGAGGAGACTTCCCATCAACTACATATTCTGCTGTTTTAACTGCTTCCTGCTCTCCTATCTGGTACTCCTGGACAACCTCCTCAATGAGGAAGGTCTGGTGACCACGGTGCTCCTGAGACCTCTCACAAAGCCAGCAAATGACTTGCACACCCCGCTTACAGAAGAGCAGGAGTTTCTCCCCATGACGCACACAGAGCTCTTTCTTCTGCTCCTCCTCTGTGCTCATCTTGACTCCTCTGAGCTGCTCTGCTATGTTGGCCAGATGCCGATTAGGCCGCAGGTGCCCAGGCTCGTAACTGATTCTGCACACAGGGCAGCTGCTCTTCTCTTCCTGGGTTGCTGCGGACTCCTTGTTGTTTGCAGTGATGCAGGCTCCGCAGAAGCTGTGGCCACAGTCTAGGCTTAGGGGCTCTTTCAAGAGGTCCAGGCAGATGGGGCAGGTCACCTCCTCCTGGATGTTCACTAAGATGTTTGATGCCATAGCTGTTGCCCCTGCTGCTCTCTATCCTGGCTTGAGTCTCTTGCTCACAGATCCCTGTATATTTGAGAACATTATAGTGGAACAAATGAGAAAGCCAGGAAACAAAGATAGGTGAAGGTAAAATATTTAAGAAAAAAAAGGGGAGGGTCTCCATTGTGATGCAAGGGGTTAAGCACAGCACTATGAAGCTACCAGCACCACTGCGACAGAGTTTCATCTCGGGTCCAGGCAGCTACCCACATAGTGCAGACCTCTCCTGTCTCATCTACTGCTCCCCATCTGCAGTGTATTTCATGAGATCCTCCTGTTCTGCTCCCCAATCGGTCTTTGGTGAATCCTCTCACCCCTCACCTCTGGCCTGTACCCCAGAATTCTTGTATGCATATATAAATAAATTTTCATTAAAAAGGGGGGGGAGGAATCAAGGAAGTGCAGTTCCTGGAATCATGCAACTTGATCCTCATCTCCATGAGGAAAGAATCACCTTGAAGACCAGAGTTAGGCAGAAAAGGAAGACATTTATTATCTAGTTGAATCAGTCATCTGTGGAGTCCGGGAGCCAGCCACCCTTGGCTGAATATCTGGTTTTATGGAATGTGCAGATGGCATTACCCTGGGCCCACAAAGATATTGCTTTATAGTGTGGTGTCATTATTAAAGTTAAAAACTAGGCCCCACTCCTTGTCCAACAGACAAATTGGGAGGCTTGACTGGATAAGGTTGTGGGTGGGGCGGCCACAGGAACTGGGCTGTTAAGCTGAGGATCCAGATGCAGAGTCAGGACACACCCAAGACTAGTCACCCAACCAATCAGTGGTGCCTAGAGTAGAAACAGCCTCAGGCCCTCACCTGGCCCCTGCTCCTCTCACTTGTGTATTTCAATAAATTCTCCTTTTCTGCTCTCTAGTCTGTCTCTGGTGAAGTCTTTCATCCCCCCAGACTCTGGCCTACACCCCAACTCTTCTCTGCAGCGTGTGGATCAACTTATATAAGTCCCTGTTTCAGGCATGGTTTAGAAAGCTGGCTCAAGGCTGGGCCTGTGACCCTAACTGCCTACTTTCCGAACTTACTTCCTCCTTCACTTGGTGATGGGTAAAATACAGTTTGCATAATAATGTCAGTACTGGGCCCCTGGAACCTGGTCCTTGTTTGTTACCTTCCTGTTGCTGAAAACCTAAACAGCTGGGATGCACTTTCCCTTGTCACAGTGTAACAGGGTGGTCCCCAGGAAAGGGGGAGGTTCCAGGTTCCCTCCCCCACCCAAGGGAGGGTGGATGTGAGCAGGGAGAGGAGAAGCTGCAGAAGAGACTGAGGAAGGAAGCAGGATGGAGCCAGGAGACCTGGAGGAGGGGCATAGAGCCTAGAGACACGTGAAGAAACTGCGCTTGTCTTTTGGTCGTGGACTGGGTGACACAGATGTGGGTGAGACCCGTGCGGAGGGGACCATGGTGGATTTTGTCTTGATTTTGGTTTTGCTCTTTTCCCTCCAGACTTGTCTGGTTGTTTCCAATCCTTTTCTGTGGGTCCCCACTGGAAGATGCTTTGGATGGACTTTTTAGATTTTTTTTTTAAGAGGTATGTATTTTTATTTATTTATTTATTTGTTTATTTATTTGTTTGTTTGTTTATACATGCACTGGGTACAGTCAGAAGCGTGGGAGGGTGAGAGAATTCACCAGAGCCAGAGCGTGGAGCAGAGCAGGCAGAAGGACTGAAGCACACTGCTGAGGGGAGCAGTGGGTGTGGCAGGAGAGGTCTGCACGCCATGTGGACCCTCGCCCGGCAGCCGGGGATCGAACCTGCACTGCAGAGGCTGCGCTGGCAGCTTTGCAGCCCAGCGCTCTACTGCTGCACCACTAGGGGAGGCCCAGAATTCTACTTTCCACAGGGATCTAGTCATCCACATGATGGAGGCTAGGCATAGAAAAAGTGGAAAGAAAACCCACAAGATCAGAAACCTGGCTCACAAAGCCAAGAGCTGGAGGTGGGGGTAGAAGGGATTTACCCAGCCATTAACCCAGCTATGGGAGCTAAGATCCTTAGGAGCCAATGCCTAGATCACAAAGCACCAGACCCAAGCAGGTATCAGATGCTGTAAGGGGTGTCAGCACAGCAGACCTAAAGGTAGACATATGGAGATTGAGGGTCCTTGTAGAAATCTGTCCACTTTCAAATTCTACATAGTTTATTCCAAGGCAACAACAAAGAAACCACTCCAGGAAGGAGTGACCCTCCCAGAGAGAAGACTCTATCAGGGCAGTCTCTGCACTGGCTGGGGCAGCACTCCTTGTGCCCACCTGTGACTATGCAGGTGCTCCTTTTCACCAACTCTCTCCCTCCGCAGGGCAGCAGCTTCCTGCCTGCCCGTGACCTGTACCTGCCAGGACTTCCCCTCACTGACCTCCCTCAGCAGAGGTAGCTCACCTCAAGGCTGCCTGTCTGCAACCATGCAGGTCTCTGTCTTAGCAAACTTGTCCCTTTTGGGGCAGCACCTTCTTCCTGCATGTGTCTATGTAAGTGTCCTTTATTCTTCTCTCCCTTTTATAATAAACCTGCTCTTTAAATATAACTAACATCACAGTCTCATGGAGAAACTGGACCGGGAAACTCGCCCCGAGCCTCTGAAAGGGGAGCTCTGGTGACACCTTCCCCAGAGTGAACCCAAGAGCCCCGCCCTCCAAGCCCAACAACTGCAAAAACCACATCATGTACACACAAAGGCAAAGCCAACCTTTAGTGGAATATCACTTTAATAGAATTAGTGTGCAGAGGGTGAGAAAAGAAAGGATATCTCTAAACAAAATTGTCCATCCATTAATGGGTAAATGTTCAAACAAGGTTGACTTAAAGTGGGGCCAGTGAGGCCCAAAACCGTGCCGCCCATCTAAAGCACCTTCAGGCAGGAATCTGTTATAGGACAGGGAGAGGGGCAGCCCAAACCCCGCTAACCTGCCTATTCTAAATGGGTTCTGCCATCCGCCGCATCAACACAAAACGTATGAGACTTTAATGGGAAGGAACTTTAATAAAACTAGGAAACAATACAGGTAAGGCAAAGAGTATAGTTTCTAAATGAAGCACCCAAAGTTACCCGTCCCCTCGTGGGTAAAAGTCCATCCAAATGGGATTGGCCCAGAGCAAGGCCCCAAAGCCTGCCACAAGTCTAAAGCATCTTCCAGTGGGGACCCACAGAAAAGGGCCAGAATCAACCAGACAAGCCCGGAAGGAAAAGAGCAAAATCAACATCAAGACAAAAGCTGCCATTGTCACCTCCCCACGGGTCTCACCCACATCTGTGTCACCCAGTCCAGGACCAAAAGACAAGCGCAGTTTCTTCACGTGTCTCTAGGCTCCATGCGCCTCCTCCAGGTCTCCTGGCTCCATCCTGCTTCCTTCCTTCCTCAGTCTCTTCTGCAGCTTCTCCTCTTCCTGCTCAGCTCCACCCTCCCTTGGGTGGGGCAGGGAACCTCCCCCTTTCCTGGGGACCACCCTGTTACAGAACCACAGAAAAACTGTTCTGAAGCAGGTCCCAGAAAGCAGGGGGGTATAGGGTGGGGGTGATGCAGTGAAAAGGACAGGTGTCTTTTCCTGCCACATCAGGTAAGTATTCTTATCCTTTGCATTTAACAAGTTTGTCTTCTTGCAGTCTCAGCAAAAGGAAGGACATTCCAAGAAGATAATAAGTGAAACAGCAGGTGTCAGCAAAGCAAGCTGGCACCCACAGGTAGGCCTACATCAAAAGGACATGCTAACCCTTCCTGCCTCCCCTTTGCAGACCCTGGCCCAACTCCCCTTTGTTTTACTAATTTGTATAAATACCCCCGCCCTCTGCCAAAGGGCAGAAAAGTGGTCTTTCTGACAGAATCTGCTGCCCTCCTCACTTTGTCCACAAATTAAACTACTTTCCATTTCCTCAAACTGTTTCCTCTTATTAGCTGAGGGAAACAGGCCACATTCAATATCAATGGGTACCCTTCACTCTGCCCACTAATAGCTGCAGCTTGCACAGGAGGAAGTACAGGGGCTCCCCTAATCTAATTGCCCTTCCTCAGGGCCTTGGCATCTTGTTATACTACCTTTTCTGACATATGTATACATTAACATCATCAAGTAAATCATTTTGTAAGATAAAAGTTGCAAAGAAATTCCTCCTACTTACTCCTGATCTCTCAGCTGAGCTTTCTTTCTGGATGAGCAATACTGACAGAGGATAAGAGTAGAAAATTGGGAAGGAGGCATCTCATGTTACCACAGGGAGTAACAAGGCTGATGCAGAGGCAAGGGCTCTCACAACTGACTCTGGCTGCAGACCCTGCCCCTATGCTCTTTTTAACAGGCGGAGTTGGTCATTCCACAAGTCCACAATACCCTCCACGCAGGGCCATGCCCACTTACCCAATTCCTGACTCTGCTCTTCTTTCATGCCTCCTCGAGTGCAAAAGTCTGGCAGATGTGTTCCCATTGTCAAACCTGTGTTCGCATGTCACCTCAAGGCGAGTTCGCCCACCTTCTTTTCAGCTCACCCTAACCCTAAGCTTTTCCCAGCGTCAACCCAAGGAATCGGTCGCGAACACAAGACCTACAAAACTGACCTCACAAGCATCCTTTATAATAAATTTGCCCTTTTGGATATAACTAAATGTCTTTGTCTCATGGGTAGACTGCCCGAAAGCTGCTGAAAGGGGAGCTAACTAAAACTTCTCAGTCATTACCCATGAACTGCTCTCTGAATCCCACATCTCTTTCATTAAAATGACATCAGATATAAGTGAGAGAGACGAACAAGGTTAGTGATCTCTAAGGAACTACAGAGATCAACCCGCGGTGAAGCAGTGACTAGAAATGAGGTGCAGAATTTGCCAACCGTCACGCATCAAGGTTCCCCAGCGCAGACAGGCCAGGACGTGGAGGAAAATGTATAGAATCATGAAGAAATATGACACTCGTACACTGTAACATTAATCCCTAGGATTCAAACCCCTCTGCCTGCGTTCCTGTAT